ACGGATTGTTATACCGCACAAGTCTTATCCGGATAAAATTCAACCAAAAACATAAAATTTCACACTTTTTCATAAAAAAAATGGATCAAAACATGAAAAAATATGAGTTTTTATAAACTTTTTCCAGAAAAACTAAAACTCGATTTTGGTCATTTTCAGCGTCAAAACTTGTGAAAATCACAAAATAGTGTGAATCAAAGTTGTATAGAATGCAAAACTGAAACTGGCGATGTAAATCTTGATTAATAACACCCAAAAATGAGCAATTTATGACCCAAAAACCAATCTGGTAAAAAAAATTCTCAAGAACAGTCAAGAACAGTGATGAACAAAAGATGAATCAGATCGAAAAATTAACAAAACATTCGTGCAAAATGTGTAAAATGGATATCTTCAAATCCAAACTGCTGCAGCTTGCTTTGATACCAATTGAAAAGTCCAGATTTCATACGAATCTTGAAGTAATCTTCATCAAATCTGAAGAACAAAGATGAATGTAAGATAGATTGGAGAGAGAGAATTACTTTGCTGTCAAATCAACTTTTTGATTACTGACGTAATCAATTGTGTAATTACAATTACAAAGAAAAGACTATTTATACTAAGGAAATAAAACTAAACTAATTACAATTAAGCTAAGTAAATGGAGAAACTTGAATACAACACTTTAGCTCTAATCTTGAACCCAACAAATAGATATCCAGTTTACCATTTTGTTCAATTAGCAAAATCTGAAGCTTTTTCAATTTCGATAACTAATAAAAAAGCAAAATTTCAAAAGTTTTGTGAAAATGATATCAATTATAGAAGGGCGTTGGGCATCCGGATCATCCTACAAGGAATGGAAGCCAGCTTTAAAAGAGGATTTCGCACATATGGCGGAAATAAGATATATTCATCAATAATGTTCTCTCCAACAAAATCAACACCTATAGCTACTGAAAATTATCTGAGGACAAAGATAGATTTATTAGATAAAGGGATTATAAAGTCAAGTCCTCAATCCCAATTTAAGATATGTCAATTCAGAGGACATAACCGAGGCAGATGTCTGTCATGCTCTCCGAATAAGGAGAAAGAGACAAATGAAGATACAAGTGTTAACCTAGCATCTGATAATCAAATAAGTTAGACACATGGGACCCACCCCATCTGTAAAAAAACATGACTATGGGAATAGATAAAAAAAACTCTTCCCAAGGGACCTCCATAAACAACCAATAAAGAAAAAGAGAAGGAGGCACTCCCACGTGAAGATTGAAGACTAGAAGTTACAAAGAAGATGATACAAGTTACAAGGGGGAAGAGAAAAGAGAAAAAAGATGTATATATAGATAGGGGAGAAAAGGGAGGGAATCCTACCCTACGCCGTTGTAATTTTCCTTTCTTCATGTACTTTGCTAACATGAAATAAAAAATTTCCATAATTTCCTTATAATTTTCTATACACCTAACATAGGAAACGAAACTAGGTTGCGCTGGATATTGCTGAAGGAGCTATAGAGAAGTTGCCAGTTACAACAACAGGTTGGGCTGGAACGCCTGTTAAAAGTCTCATGGCATGACCCGGTGATATTTAGGTCAAAAAAGAAGACAAGTATGGAAGCATGTTGGACCCTTTATTTTATATAATTCTTAAATAAAAGCAATTGTTTAATGTTTTAGAAGTTGTAAGGAAAACGTTTTAAACAAATTTGTAACAAATTTAAATATATTTGATATTATAACAAATGGTTTTAACAATTGTTATAACAATAACAATGACTGAAAATATTTTAGATTACCTTCATCGAGATCTTGCAGATTTTATTAGTTTTTGATTAGAAAATATCTTTACAGAATTTATAGTAGATATTATTTTGTTTGATTTAGTAGATTGGTTGGGTTTTTCCATGGACCCCTCTAAAATTGGTATCAGAGCCACCCGGTTTTTCGTTGAGGGAGGTGAAATAGAGAGATTAATAGATTATAGGCATACTATGTTTATGCCGACATATTTAGAACACTAACAAGATCTTTATCATCAAGATTTAAGACTTCATAGAGGAAGAGGAATATCCAAAGATATCGTTACTTTAGATAGAGGAATACCGGAACCAATAATATTAATAGGATCATTTATGATTAAATGCCCTCCTTTTTACTTTCATGATACAAGTTCAGATATCCTATTAGGTAATAACTTCTTACAAAGATTTAATAAAATAAGATTTGACATAATTGGTTTTAAAATGATATTTAAAACACCAGGTCATCACTTAATAGTGGTAAATAAAATAAAAAGAGCGTATGCCAAAAAATTGCCTATTCTCTTTAAAAAATGCACAGCCCAACGTGGTGATATAGGATACACTTCAAAACTGATTTTTTCTAAAGGAACACCATTATTAAAATACCAACCAAAAGAAATAGTATTAGATTATCAAGTAAATTTAAGAAAACTTGATTCAAATATTGAAGATATAAAACAATGCTATACGGAAAATTCATTACAATTTTGGGATAAAAACCAGATTACAACCAAACTAGAAATAAAAGATAAAGAGAAAAAATTAGGGTCAAACCAATGAGATACAACCCTGAAGACCAAAAAGAATTTTTGATACATATTAAAGAATTACTAGATCTTAAATTAATTAGGATAAGTCATAGCCCTCAAAGTTCTTCTGCTTTTATGGTAAGAAAACATGTAGAAATAGCTAGAGGAAAAGCTAGGATGGTAATAAACTATAAAAAACTAAATGATAACACTATATTTGATGGATACTTTTTACCTCATAAAGAAAGCTTAATAAATTGGACTACAAACAAAAAGATATTTTCAAAATTTGATTGTAAAAGTGGATTTTGGCAAATAAAAATGCATCCTGATAGTATATCTTATACAACTTTTTCTACACCTCAAGGTCAATACGAATGACTTGTTTTGCCATTTGGATTAAAAAATGCCCCACAAATATTCCAAAGAAAAATGGATAGTATTTTTAAAGATTATGGTTTTATTTTCGTATATGTTGATGATGTTTTATTATGATCTGATGATATAGAATCTCATTTTAATCATCTAGATATATTTATAAATTATGTACTAAAAATGGATTAGCCTTATCCAAAAAGAAAACAAGACTAATACAAGATCAGATAGATTTTTTAGGAATGAAGATTGATGGCAAAGGTATAGAACTTCAAAGCCACATCTTAGAAAATATTAATTCATTTCCTGATAAATTAGTAGATAAAAAACAAGTACAAAGTTTTTTAGGAATACTTAATTATGCGTCAGATTTTATTAAAAATTTGGCCGTATTAAGAAAACCCTTCCAAGATTTACTAAAGAAAAATAAAATCTTTAATTTTGATAAAGGTTTAGATATCCAAGTAAAAAAAAATAAACGAATATTGTAGATCTTTACCAAAACTACAATTACCAAAGGAAGATGATAATTTGATTCTTGAAACAGATGCTTTTGAAAATCATTGGAGTGGAGTCCTTAAGAAAATAGATTATAATTTACCACAAGAAAAGATGGGAGAAAACATATGTAGATATTGTTCTGGTACATTTATAGATACCCAAACAAGATATCATATTAATGAAAAAGAATTATTAGCGGTAGCGTGAGTCCCTACAATGATCAATCTTCATGTAAACTTCATAACAATGGCAGATCTGATAATTTCTATATGAACATCATAGAGATGGAGAAGAGAGAAATAGTCAACACTTCAAATCTGGTCAAACTTCACTATACGTAAAATGAATCTTACAAATGAGCTCTTACAAACAATTACAAGACCAACACCCTATTTATAGGGTCAAACAACTAAACAAGGTCAAAGTCAAACCTCTATAAGAAAAGTCAAACACGATGACTTTTATACAATTATAGACAATTTTATCTTTCAAGACGAATACAATTTTACACTGAATTTCATTCCTAACATTCTCTCCCTTTGTATTCAGACTTGAAAGAATTTGCGCGCTTTGAGTCTCGTTTGAACTTTGAAGCTTTAAACACACTATGTCATCTTTAAAAACAATCTTCAACACGAAA